GCTCGAAAGGTCACGAATGCTGTGTTTACAACTTGTTGCTCTGTTGCCTTCAGCAACGAGGAATTCAGGTTTCAGGATCAGCAGCGAGTGGAAAACGCTCCGTTTGAAAGCATCAGCATTATTATTACCGATGCATTAATGTGTGAGCTGCTTTTAGTGCTGTAGATAGCTGAGGTGGAGGCACACGGGCGCCTTTGTTGGGCTTGATAATGACAGAGCTACATTTAAACTGGGAACTCTGATTCGCACCGAGAGAGGATGCTGGTTGCTGCTGCTTAACAGCTCTGAAGCTCCTGCTGGGACATCGTCCAGGTATCTGTCAGCTGTTGTCACTCAGATGCAGCAGCTGAGCTTCAGGAAACAGCAGAAAGCAACAATGCTTAAATGTCACACGAGGAAAACCACCGACCGACGGCCCCGACTCTGCTTCATGCTGAAAACGGTTCGTTACCTTCGTCTTGGACGGGTGCGAGCATTTCAACTCGCTGCCGTCGACCTGACAAAAACCTCAGCTGTAATTGTGCTCGGCTGTAACTTTACCCCACTTGTATTTCGGTCTGTGTCAGTGGACACCAGACGCTGTGCCATACATAGCGCGCACGGGCGCGGCGTGCCAGGGGTTACATTTGGCCTGCGGTTATTAGTGAACCATGCCGAGCGTGGCCGTGACGCAGGCGCTGTTTCCACATTACCTGGAAATGTGCGTGTCACCTCTGACCCAGTGAGGGAAGCAGCCGTTCAGGTTGCCTTCAGCGAGACTTTGACACCAGCACGTTTGATTCGCTGTAATTTAAAACGGAAATCTGGTCCAGCAGAGCGGAGCATTTCAGATGTATAAAAGCAGCAAAAGCATCGCACTCTCACTGCTGATTTACTCGTTACAGAGCGGCGGCGACGCACAGACGCCGGCGCTTTCATCCTGTGCCGGTGCGAATCTTTAGTAGTTATGTGCTGAAAAACGGGCGATGGCTGCAGTCACACGTACTGTGAATCTAATCTGCTGCTCACAGATCGACAGCATAACTAACTTTTTATCCAATGCTGACTTTTTCTGTTTGTTTTTAAACACCTGCAAAGAAACTGAGCTGTTGTAACAGGTTAACTCTGTTTTCATTTGACACTTAATAAACCAAACAAGTGCAGAGGTCACTGACTGAGCAAACGATGGCCTTTGTCTGACAGTGTCAATAAAAACACAAACAGCTCTAATGGATAACTCGTAAAGAGCTGATCTCCCCGCACCTGAGAAGTCAATGTTTCACGTATAAGAGGTGACCTCCAGGTGAGCAAATATATACCCAGCAAACATTTAATCCTGAGCTGGGAGAGCGTAACGTCCACGTGACAGACTGAGACCAAAAGGTGATAACTGTTGTAATTGTAACTTAAAGCAGTGTCGTTGTATTGCACCTTTCTACTCACCTGAGCATTTAAAGCCGTTTCTGCTGCTAGTCTGTGTTATTCAGTCAGATCTGCAGCGAGGACGTCAAACTCACTTTACATCGTGGGCCACACACAGACGCCTTTAAACTTCTTCACGCCGTTTAAGATTAAACTACACATTTAATCCCTGAGATAAAGTGCAACAGTCGTTTTTCTACATAAAGAGAAGCTGCTGTGCGAAATGAAAGAAATCAGTCAGCACGACTCTGAAGGAGTTCTGCTAGCTCGTTGCTGCAAAACAGTAAAACTGAAACTTTGTTCGTTCACAGAAAATGTGCTTTTTCTCTCACCGTGGATCTTTAAACAGATTCTATAGGAGTAAAGTAGAAAACTCTGGTGTCGTATGCATGACCCTGC